TATGGGCCCAGTCCAACTCCCTTTGAAGTCCCTGGTAGTCTTCAAATGGAGTTGGATTGTTCACCTACCAGTTAAAAAAAATCTTTCCTAACGCATATTGCATGATTGCTGGGTGCCAGGAACTGAAGGAGGAATATTGATTATTGAATCTAGGTTGGAGTGCTAATCACTCAGGACTTGACATCCACATCCAACTTGAAATATGTTCTTTTCACTTCCTGCAGTCATGCTAAATCTGTAAGGGATGTGGCCAAACTCTTGCAAACCTCCCTCTGTGAGGAAATCAAACCCAGCAGATATAGCCTGAAAATTGGACACTTGCAGATAAGTGACAGCCCAAGTGAGGGTGCACCCAGGATACCGGTGTGATTTGCTGATAAACTCTCTGTGGTGGATTCCTCTCTATGGGCCAAGAAAAGTGCCTACTCATGATACTGTGCCCATAGGGCTGTATCTGGTCCAACAATTCAGCCACGCTCAGAGTGCTTTCAGTGTGACAGGGAAGGAACAGGGAAGGTTTTTATTAACTCACAATTTAGATGTCAGGTATTATTAAAACGCACTGTAGACAGCATTGGATGGGCTCCATGCACACTCTGTGCTTTTTCCTCTGTGATCACTTAATATGACAAATCCCAGTGACATGCACATGGCTGTTCACATAATGGTGGGAATAGAACACTTGAAAATGATTTAGGCCTCCTTTCAACCCTGGGCTGAGAATGTTTGATACAAAGCAAAGGTTGCACTGGCTCAGCTGATCTAAAGGAGGACTTTTCAGCATTAGTTACTTAATGTAGGGGCACATCAGTGAATGTCTCCCTGTAGTGTGGCAAGGGTTTCAGAGGACAGAAAAAAGTATCCAACTATGGAATAATTTTTGATTGTCAAGTGAGCATGAAACCTTCATAAGAAAAAAATGGCTTTCCTTCTGCAGGTATCTGTTATTTCCATGAGAATGCAGGTGTATTTCCATGATGTAGTAGAGACAGAAATCCAATACATGCCCCATGAAATGCCTTGTAAACTGGAATACAAACTTACATGCAGTAGTGGGCACTTGCGTGGTAGGTGAAGAAGCTGGTAAAAAAAAAGCAAAAATTAAATACTTTTCAAAAGAGAGATTACAGCAAACTTTGAGCTATTCAAATCAGTGCAAACAGTAAAACTGCACCTGAGATGTGCTATTTCCAGGAGCTAGATCACATGCTGCTGTGGGGAAATTAATGAGATGGGGGCCAAAAGGGGGCAAAGTACCACAGTGGTTTTCTTGTGATCATTACCATTTAATTCCCTCATAAAGTAGAACCAAATGTTCAACTTCAAATTCGCAGACCAAATATGGTTTTATGGAATGAGCGATTACTGGTGCTCAGGGCCTCTGTATGAACTATTTTTAACATGGTACCCTAGAAACATTGAAGTCACATTGTCATGCACTTCCTTCGTTGAAGTTACTCCTTACATCTCTTATAGCGATGAGTTTCCTACTAAGAGGTTTGAAGATAATTCACCTAAAATACAAGAATAGAAATCGAGCTCCTGAGCTGATGATACTTGTGCCATCATCAAAGCATGAGCTGCAGCAGCTTGATTTTAAGATCCAAGAATCTCTAAAACACTCATGTCCTCTGTGGATCAGCGCAAAGGGGAAAATACAACCGCTGACCCAAGGCTTATGTTAATGGCAGAGTTAGGTAAATCTGAGCCAGGCAACTGTGGAAAGGAAATTGGATATATACGAGACGAGCTTGTAATATGTGTCTTCTTGCTCTTTGCTCTGGGAAAACAGATTGGATAATTTTCATGGTGAGAGGAAACCATTGCATAGATCTCTTTCAATCACAGAGGTCACGTTCTAAAAGAAGGGGTAGGATTTCCCACTCCTGCTTACAGAAAATAAGGGATTTATCCTTAATGCTGTTATTTTCATGGAAATTTACAGAAGTACACACAATTCCCACAGGCCTTTCTATGAGTCACTGGGCCACCTAACCTTCATATGTCTATTCTTAGGAGTGGCAGATAACAAAAGAACCAATTATCTCACATTGAATTTGGGGTTTTTTAGGTTGAATAGTTGGAAAAACTACTTCACTACTAGGGTGGTGAGGCACTGGCATAGATGATCTTGGCAGATGGTGGAATATCTGTACAGAGGTTTTAAGGGCAGCCTTAACAAAGCTCTGGCTGGAGTGATTTTGTTGGGGTTGGACCTGCTTTGAGCAAGTGTAGGACTGGATAACCTCCTGAGGTGTCTACCAGCTCTAATCTTGAATGATTCTATGGCTATATGGCAACATGACTTCAATGAAGACATACAGAGACATACACACAGACACAGACACACACACATTCTTGCCTGTAGCTGCCCCAGGACCGTTTTTTATGATCTTCTCACTTGGCTACATTGATGTGATTCTCAGAAATGTAATAGATGTGATAACAATAGCAATGGGAGTACCTGAGCAGATGACACTGGCATCCTCACGGTGGATACAGTTATGTCTTCCCCACCCCTGGTGTGAGCACTGGTCCAGAGAGGATTCATTCCCTCTGCACTGCACGTCATCCAGGAGAATACTTCCGGAGCCTTCACCAAAGCGGGCATTCATGGGGGCCTCAGTGGCCTGGCCACATCCGAGCTGTCTGCACACAACCTGTGCATCTGTTATGTCCCAGGCATCATCACAGACTGTTCCCCAGCTTCCATTGTAATAGACTTCAACGCGACCAGAGCACCTGTCCTGCCCGTTCACCAGTCTCAGTGATGTACCTTGGAAAAGCACAGGAAACAATACTATTAATGTTAACACAATTAGCTCGTATTCAGTGTCACTCATTCCAGAAGTTCCTCCAGTGCTCAGGTGGGATTCTTCACCCTACTACACTCCCTCATGTCTGGGTGCAGTATTTTTTCCTCTATTCATTCAGCCATCTCTACAGGTTAACTGCCTAGGATACTGAGTGATGGTCCTTGTTTTCTCTGTGCCACCTCTTTGGGGTGTCATGTGCCCACTAGATTTGGGAATAAGAATAGAGCAGTTTCTTTCTTCCTTTTCACAATCATCTCTTATGACCACATTCAATCCTGGGTACCTTGCTGAGAAACGTTCATGTTCTGAGAAGAGAAACTAAATATGCTGAAAGGAGACAGAAAGGGCTTGACTGTAGGATCACAGAGGATCACACAGGGTATATCTACACTACAGCACTAATTCGAACTAACTTAATTCGAATTAGTTTATTCGAATTAAGCTAATTCAAACTAGTGCAGCTAGAACTAATAACTAGTTCGAATTAGCGTTTTGCTAATTCGAAGTAGCATGTCCACATTGAGTAGATCCTGAACCGGGGTTAAGGATGGCTGGAAGCAGGGCCGGCAGGGCATCAGATTAGGACTTAGAGCATGGAGCTGCTGTCTCAGGCTAGCCGAGGGCTGTGCTTAAAGGGACCTGACCCCCACCCTGGACAGACAGTTCTCAGGGGTTCCCC